ACCTTGATGATTTTATCGGGTTTAGTAAACTGTTCTGCTAGTTTTTGACGAGTAAAATTATTCAAGTAAACGTCTTGTTCTGTTTCAAAGGAATCGGCATTTTCACGAGTTTTGTTAATTTTGCTGATGACATTTTCTTTACTGTTCACAAGCTTCTGATTAAGTGTTGAGTAAAGAAGTTTTGTTTTATCTCTGTGGTTGGAAATGTAATCTGATAATAATAGTTCGTCAAGGTTTAAGTCAAAAGGGTCATTATCAGTGATGTGACCATTGATAACATCAACCGGCAGAGGATTTAGATTTAGAGATGCTATCCATGATGGTTAAGAATTTTGTCTGTTCAAGTGTAGTTCATATAGGTATCTATATGAATTATCTCAAACGGTCTAGTCGGAGTAGGGGTAATATTTATTTCAACTTTAGTTTTCTACTTTTAGTTTTGATGCTAATTTCACATTGGTTTATGTATGTTTGCACAGAGTATTTTTGATTAGGCCAGCAATAACGTTCTTTGATCTTAAACAAACTTTCATCAATTCCTCGATGATTAGATTTACCGCAATGATAGTTTGGGAGACTTGTTTGTAACGTCAAGCAATTTTTTCAAGCATCTCTTTAGATTTAGAGAAGGGCATCTAAAATACTTGCGTTTGTTTTCGAATAAAATTGACAATTTTGGAGTTGCAGGTGAATGTAACGTTTGCGATATTATGACTTGGTTAGCGCCATAATTTACAGGAATATCGGCTATCGGTATTCCACCTATTGAGTATTGATAGTTGTTTGTATGAATAGTATCATTGTTTTGTTCAGTACGCGGGGAAATAGTTATACTATTCAGTTCGAGTTTTGTTTGGTAATATCTAAGTTTGATTTTTGTGCGTGGTGTAACAGGATAACCGTTATTAAAATCAATGCTTGCTTGTAGTAATTTCAAATTGTCTAGACCAATAAGTCCGTCAAACCCATTGTGGAATTTAAACAAATAAAACTTTAAATTTTGATTAGATGGTAATTTTAAAATTTTAGATGCAGGAATTAAAGCGCTATATCGATAAGCTGATTGTTGGAATACAGTACTCACAATAAATGGGTCATTTGCAATGCAATTACTGTAAAATTGTTTTGCTATTTCGGGATTAACAAAAGATTTTGTAGATCGATTAAAAGTTTGATGTTATGTTCCGGTAGAGTAATGTAAGACAGTTCATTGGTATTTGTTAAATTGAGTAAATTTACTAAGTTGGATTGTGTATCTGAGGCGTTACTTGAAAATTTGCATTTTGTTCTTGGGGGGTCAACGACATAGTGTTGTTGTCTAAGGTAGAGGTTTCATGTACATTTTGCGAACATGCATATTCAATATTTTCTTGCTTATTTTGGGAAAAATTAACAAAGATGTCTAAGTTTTCGTAGTAATCTGTATCGTCTGATTGATATTGTTCTGATAATCGATATTGATTATATTGATTGTATTGATCGCAATCAAACTTAAGTTGCATTTCAGTATTATACAGTTCTTCCACCAGATATTTTGGTTGATTGTTTTGAAGATTAAGTCTTTGGAATCTGTTGGTTGAAACCGGGAGTGCTTTAGGACCTGATGAGCAGATACTCATAGGTTGTGGAGTGGGAACAGGTCTATTCTGATACGCTCTGAACACATTTGATTGGTTTGGTCCGAAACCATTTGATTGATTTGGTCGACCGAATACACGAGAGTTAGCTGGAAATCTCTGAGGAATTTTATTAAAATTTGGGCGAATGTTTACAGGTTGTGAAGGAAATTATGAAGTTTGTGCCATTTGAGGTCGTAAATAGATTTTGAGGAGTATCAGAATTAAATGTAGAAAAATGATGTTGAGGTTGGCCTAGAAAAGGTGTTCTAAACTGTTGGACAGGTTGTGGTTTCGAAATTGGCTTATTAAAAAGTTGAGGTTGATTTCGAGCATAATTTTGAAAATAGTTATAATTATACTCTTGGGTGACATACTGAAGTGCTTCGGGTAAGCTATTAGGTTTCATTATTCAAATTATTTTTTTAAATTCTACCAGCATCAGAATTTTCGTGACATATATATATATGTCACGAAATGTGTATAAGCAAAACAAATTCAATAGATGTAACACTCGGTCATAACACTGATTGGGATTTTCGTATGCATTTTTTTTTAGCATTACTATGTCTCGATTTAAGCAAGATTCATCACGTTAGTCTGCAAAATTTCTATACAATACTGCGCTCAAATTGTCCCATGTTGTGACATTTTGAATATTAACAATTATTTGAGCAGTTCCCGTCAATTTACCTATTAAACTATTAAGCAAAAAGACATTTTGAAAATCGAGATGATTATCAGCATTATAACAATTGTCTATTAAACTCTGACAAGTTGACAAATAACGATTCAAATCGTTGGGGTTCCCATCAAATTCGGGTACACATTTTAAGTATTCAGGTCTAAATTGTGCCATCTTAAAACTACTTAGAATTTTGCTTGAGAAATTATTGATTTTTTTCTTAGTTACTAATGGAACTTCAAGTAATCCTTTTGCGTTTTTAGTAGAGTCGGTTAAAGGGTTTTCGTTACTTTCGATAGATAATTTATTTAATTATTCAATTATTATTTCTAAATGCGACATGAAGCAAATTGAATTTACATACAAATTACGGCGTACTTGACCATATCAGTACTATAAGGTCCCAAGTTTCTGGATGGCAAAATTGTAGTCCTTGCGAAAATGTCCAATCTAGTGACACTTTTCACGAATGGTGTTGTTTAGCGATTAAACAAACCACTTTTTCAATTCAATATCTTCGAACCCGGTCGATATGCTCTCGAACAACAAGTTTGTAATTACCGAACTCGCGAACCAATCAATCTGCCAATAAATCGTTGAACGAAAGTCACTCTTCGGTAGATGGGCATTTGGCAGATCCTACCGACTCCGCCAGTTAATTATTTCAATATGGCAAAGCCGTTTTAAAAAAACAACTAAATTCTATTAACACGTTTATTTTTGATGAAAGAAGCTCTACCTGTGTATTTGTTAAAAGATAAAAATGAAGTCACCGGCAATCAGCGCAAATGTGCTTTTGTTTGAAGTAAACGCATTGTCAGCATTTGGCTGATTCAGCGGAACCCGTATAGGACCATCACATAACTAACGTAAAAACATGACAATTTTAAAAATGACATTGACATCAGATCATAAGCTATGAAGTTGATGCGTTTTATTTTTGGCTATTCTTATTTATGATAACTTGTGGTTCGTGTAATGTTTTTCATTCTAATAAAAAATGTTGTTTGATACAAGAGTCGTTTTTCGAAAACGACGACGGCGTTTGACAGCCGACACGAAGTCGAGTGTGTCAATCCGTCAGTCCGGATTACTCCTTCAATCAGGGCTTTGAGACTGAACTTGTAACAAAATTATAATTTCGAAATTGTAATAAAACTTTAAATTATAATCAATAGTTGTCGGTACACCTATGTACTTCATGAAAAAAGCCCGCCGGTTACTTTTTAAGGAAAATACTTGAAAAAATATAATAACAGTGACAGGTTCAATTTGTCACATTTACTTTTGCTCACCTGTGCGTAAAAGTGCGTGCGTAAAATTAAAACAAATGAACAGTAAAGCAAATTGCTTCCTTATGATCATCGCTTGCGATCTAAAAATAGCACTTTTATATTCATTTGGATAAAAACTACTATTGCGTGTGTGAGAGCCAACATAACAGAGTCGCCTATATTGTCAAATTATCAAAATGTAATATTCATGCCAATGAAATAATTTTATTTATAAAATTAAATGCATGCGTTGTGTGCTATGCAATTTCGTGTTACACCGATTAGATACAAAATTTTGCAGTCATCAAAAATGCGAACATTTAATCCGTCAAACAAAGAACTAAACCATATCGACTTTAAAAAAAGTTTTATTTTCAAAAAATGGATTTAACTGGAATGCTTTGTTCGCTGCGAATCTCATCGGCCAGTTTCATAGATCCGTAGGGCGGTCCGGGCACAATAGGAATTATTAATCGGTCCATGAATTTAAATAGGAATAGATAGCCCGCTCGAAAATATCACATTAGGGTCTCTTCGAGTTCCCAATTATTGCTCATTTTGTGAATGAAAATCGCAGCGTGGTACTCGACATTTTGATGCGTGTAATGGATGAACGTGTTCTAATACTATAATTTGGTAAGAAGGTAATTTTGTAAGAATTTTTTATATACAGGGTGTCCCACCGGGTCGATATCTGGCGAACTGTAATTAGGTGAAATTTGAAAACAGCGTGCCGAAGTCATTGGGCCAAGAGGTATAAAACATTTTCAAAATGACCATGCTTCCGGTTGTACCGGAAGTACATGTAAGTATCAACTTGCTTATTCTAAATGAAACACCCCTTATATTATTAAATTGTTGAATTCGCGCCAAATTCTAAATATATTTCATAATACCCTATACCTAAGTCTAACCGTTTTTCATATATTTAAAATTTTATGTCAAAAATGACAGTTGCGCCACTCGATTAATGATTCATTTTCTTATAAGGGAATTTGTGCTACTTAATTTGCTTACAACTTCTTGTTGAAAATTACTTCTTTTAATCGAACAAATTTACAAAGCGTAAAAAAATTAGTTTCGAAATAAAGTTGAGAAAACCGCCCACAGTCATTTTTCTCCAATGAGAAGTCATTTTTTGATAATTCTGTCATAGTCAGTATTGAAAATAAGTGTAAGTTTGTGTTAGGTTGTCCATTCCAAAATTGGGTAGTCTTGGAATTATTGCCAATTTAATGTTTTCATGTCTCTCTTAGATTTCATTTGATGTCACTCTTAGTTGCATTGCCAAAAGTGGGCATTCAATGCAATCAATTTCAACAATCAAATGCCAAAGTAATCCTGACAACCGTGATGTACCTTTCAAAAATAATTAATAATTTCGTACGGGCGCTTAAATTATGCAAACAACGATAATTTAAACTTATTTATTATTTATGGAGAATGTAATAAAGTTATATCTAGAACCGTTTACATATTATTTACTATAATTATATCAAGAACAACCACCAGCTTCTTTAAATCTTCATCTCTCTAATTTTTCCTGATGCCCTTGTAAATTGAACATGCCCTGTAATTTAAACGTGATCAAAATTCTTGCAATTTTCTATAATGTGTTAAACAGCACAGCGTGAAGGCTTCGATTTGTGTAGGTATCGAATGGAAAATTTGTCACATGTTCTTAGTATAGTTTTATCATATTCTCCATAAACAACAAATGAGTTTACCCACAGCCACTACTGAAAGTAGTATAAAACACACTACTTACCATTTAAGTGAATTTCGTTTTACGCATTGTAAACCAAACGCACGGTAATCTAAACGCACAGTTCTGTCATCATTCATCACAATATAAACATTGTAACTTGTATTGGAAAGGATTTACTCCACTAAAAAGGGAGTCCGATGGTTTTAAAAGCAGAAGAAAAGAAATTTAAAGAAATCCAATATTTTATCAGCAAACAGCTTAAAACAATTCGGGAAAATGTACCTGATTTTGGCATTCATCTGGCCCATAATTCTGGGCTACGGTCAACTTTTTAGTCGATGTCAAAACTGAGATATTTAAAAATATGCAAATTTGATCTATAGTTTTAATAGTATATTCCATAATTAGGGATGTAAGGAGCACTCTACGTACTAATGGAAAAGCTGCGTAATTCCATGAGTACTTAATTGCGTTGCAACTCGAATTATGTACCATACTTTACCTACGACCGCAATAACTACTTACTAAAACCAAAAGAAAAAATTGCACTATTTTTAAATATGTCAGTACGATTAATTGGTAGTTAGTAGGATTAAGTTGGTGGCAGCCCAGAAAAACTTTTTGGCTTTTGGCTGGGCTTTCCCCCAGCCTTGCATCTCTTGGCGCGCACTATACTGTTAGGGAGGTGCTATAGTGACCTTGTTACGCGATCCGGATAGTAAAACCAAGATCCTAGCGTCCCCTAGGCTACTTATCCCGAGGCCGTAGCCACGAGAGTCGTTGCACTGCAGGCGGTTTGCGGCTTGTGCCACGAGCTGGTCCGCGGCGACGGCTTTCGTTCCAGATCCGTGGGTTTTATTCCACGACTTGAGGTCCGCCACCTGAGGACGCAGCCGATGTGTCGGTCAACCTGCAAGGGATTCAATAGGGTACATTTTCCGGTAAAGTTTTCATGTTGTTTTCGGACAAAACATCGGACCTCTTGCTTTTATAGCATCAGACGGTCTACTTCAATAGAGTAAGTATTTGTTGATACAACGTTTATGTCGTGATGAATGATGCCAGAACTATGCGTTTAGTTTACCGTGCGTTGGTTTACACTGCATAAAATGGAACTTACTTAGATGGAGGGTAGTGTGTTTTGTACTGCTTTCAGTAGTGGCGTAGGTAATAAGTTAATACGGTTGTTGGTAAAGTATGGTACATAATTCGAGTGATAACGCAATCACGCACTCCCCGCTTGTCGGCATTGTTTTTTCCATTCGTACGTAAAGTGCTCTTTACAACTCTTATCATGGACTAGACCTTTGTACAATCTTCCGTTGTGCAATTTAGGCGCCTGGACTGGATTAACTTAACTGGGCTTTTATGATGGCAACTAAGAGTGACAGTATTTAAAATAAGAGCCATATGAGAAAATAGCCATAAATTGACAAAATTTCGAAAACTAAACACTTTTGGAATAGACGACTTCACTCAAACTCACACTTAATTTTAATACTGAATTAGATTAAATTATTATTTTTCAATTTGAAAAAAAATTGATTTTGTGGAGTTTTCGCAATGCCGTTTTGTAATTAATTTTTTGTAACACTTTGTGTGGTGTGGAGGCACATCGACATATATCTTCAGAGCTGCTACTTCAAAACGTGCGAATGCCAGATGGATCGCCAACCTTATTCGGTCATTACTGATTCTTTCAAGTTTCTACCGGCCTGCTGAACACCTACAAAAATCAATTTCTGTCGCTTCCAAGGGTTTCTTTGCTCTTTCTTTGAGTGGCCATATCTCGCTGCGATAAGTAACCATGCTTCTGACAATTCTATTGAACATTGACTTAGCTTTCCTTCCCTGTATGTTGCATATGCATAGAACCTTGACATTGTCGAAAGTTCCATCGTTGGTAATATTTACGCATAGGTATTTATACTTTTGGGAGTTTTTTATTATTTGGTCATTTTAGAAAATCAGATCTTGCTGGCTTTCTCCGACACTCTGGTATTTGGTTTTTTTAATCTCCACGTCGAGCCGCACTTCTCGCACTCTTTAATGAATTTCCGGGTCATATACTCAATATCATCAGAATCTTGTGTTAACACAATTTAATTGTCAGCGAAGTTGAGTGTATACTATGTGCTGTAATTAAGCAGGATACTCATATTGTGTTTCCATTTTATTAACAGTTTTTTAGGCATATTTAAAAACGCGCTTGTGAAATGTTCAACAGCTTCTCGCGTCTCTTATTTGGAATTTTTTGTTTGTTTGGTCTTATGTGAGCATCTTTACAAAACCCCAAAAACGTATTCAATATTTTATGGCATCAATTCGCTTGTCATCTCAAGTTAGGTCTAGATATATTACAAACTATAAGTCCATCCCTAAGGACCTGTGAGCAACAATATTTTATTTCCAAAACATTGAAAAGTTCATATTTTAAAATCAATTTTTTTATTCATCTAACCAGCATAGCTTTATATATGAGTTTAACCGCATGAACAGTTTCATTTCGCTTAATGAAACCTCATGTTAAAATATAAATATGGATTTTGCAGCCTGAAAGAATGGTCCGTATTCTATTTAGGTATCGCATTCTCCAGCATCACAGCTATGCAGAAAAATATATATTACAGCCCAAATAATGTTCCGCTACATGAATTTGTTGAGATGCCTCCTATTCCTGCATTTTTCGAGTTTGTCGGCCCATACACCAGCAAAATTATCAAACGCGGCGTAAATTTATATATCCGTGCATATCTGGACCATAAATAGTCCCCTAATCGCTCGGCCCTAAAACAGGATCATTTACCATGTTTTTTTTAGAAAATTTAATTTGCTTAACAACAGAATATTCGTGCTTTTTGGTCTTTATATTCAATGATAACATTTATTCGGTGCAAAAAATATTTAATTATCAGTATTTTTGTGTTAAATGTTATGGCAATCGAGTAGTTTTAGGTTTATGTTATTTACCGTAAATATCTGGAAAATTAAGAAAACAATGGGTAATGGTTACAAAAATAAATTAAAACGAGGTGTCGGCAATTTCGTAGAGCAGAGTTGATGTTTGGGCAAGTATCGAGCCATTTGTTAAAGTTTATTAGTTAACACCTCCATTTAATTCTTTAATTTTCATTAATTGTATTAGATTCGGTAGTTCTAGTACATCAAACGGTTAGCAGACGGCAACTTGTGGTCGTCAAACTACGTGTTTTATATTAGTTCTTTTTGTGAAGGTAAATTATATAAATATATCCATCAAATATAAAGTAGGTATTTTGGCAGCATACCACCGCTGAGCGTTCTAGATTTGCTGCGAAAGCTAGTGGCGCTTTAACGAATCCACCATTCGGGCAAAGCTTTTGGCCTTTTTCTCTTTATTAAATTTAAATTATTGCCATCATATAATAATTGAATAGCAAATTATTGTAATCCTAAACTCAAGTCATAATTAAATGGTTTTCATTAAAGTTGATTTTTTTTATTGTTTCTGTCTGTGAAATTTGTCGCGTTGCAAATGTGCGTGCAATCCCATTTTATAGTCCTCTTCAATATCTATTACAATTACCCTGGATGTTGAGGCTCTTCTATAGATCGCGTTAGAAGAGTTGTTAAATATCCTCGACTATATTCGTTCCTGATGTTTCAACAATTATTTTCGCTCTTCTGTTGCTATCTCCATATTAATGGAATTTTAACTTTTTATCTTTTCCTTGCATTGTCATATTTTCTCTTGTTTTTTATTGCGAAACTTTGGAAATAATTTCTTATATTATTTGAGCTCGATGGTTTTTGATCAAGTGCTCGCATTTTTCTCTATTTATTTTAATATAGACCATAGATAAATAAAATAATCTGAAGATCTCTGCAAATCAATTTTACCGTAAGGCCTATATCTCAAGTCTATTGATGCGTCTGTTAGTGATTCTCCACCTGCACTGATATGTTAGTTGCGAAACTTTTGTTTTGTCCCTGTAAGCATATTATTGTGGCATCTAGCATAATTACTCATAATGCCTGACATGTGGCTAATGTTTTGTTAAAAGCTTTTTCCAAGTTAATTTTCTAAGTTTTTGTAAAATCTATTCGCTTCTTCTTTGTTTTTTGTTAATGCGCGGTCATAGACACCTTGGTGTTATGTTTATTCATTCCACTGATATTTTAAAGGCACGTTTGCATAATGTATGTCTTGCATAAGGCGTCCATAAATAAATATTTCGTCGAACGTATTCTTGCTCTCAATATTTTTTGCTGTAGGAGGTACATATTACAGTACAGTATCTCGAATTAGACGTTAATTCACTTTAGTAATTTTTCTGTAGTCTTCGCTAATTATTAGTAAATAATTTTTTTCTTTATAACGTACTTAATACACTATCTTACATAACTAGTCATTCTCTGTTCTTTCTTCTTTCTTCTTTCTGACTTGAAAGATCTGCTGAGAAATTATTCAATTGCAAAATATTTGGCAACGAAATTATTTCCTTTCGCTTTGCTACATGTGTAAGCGCCAATGCAAGGTTTGCGTATCGTATGCTGTACTTATTCTAATTTTAATCTATTAGGGCAGAGCAACTACCTAGACGAATAATTGAATCATTTAAATATTGTTTTGCTCTTTTATTTATTTAGACTTAGATTCAGACTTTAGATTTATCATTTACTTATAACTTATTTGCTTAATAATTATTTTCTCTTTGTATTTCACACAAGAATTTTCCGCCTGGGTATTACACCATTGCTTTGGATATTATCGCTAAAGGTAAAGTGGACGGAAGACGGACAAAATTTGCGGTCATAAAACAGTCAAATTTAATACACCTGGATGCAGCAAAGTTTCCTATTAAACCAAATTCGAAACTTACCTATTTACAATTGAATCCAACTTGCATCGAAATTACCGCCCTAGTAATTTCAGGCCAACACCCAAAACTTTGGCCCGATGTCGACCACATAAATCACTTAAATTCTCTAAAGAGAAGTAAATTTCCTAGTTTTACAATCCCAGGTCAGCATGAAATCGAATCGTAACTTGGCACAGTGGAGAGACAAATTCGTTCCTTAAGCGTCACATCTGTGTACCTTTCTTTAGCGCTGTGGTATAATCTTCATCTAACTTTCATTTTGTGGCTTTTATATTATACAGGATTACTCCAAATTGGCGTAATTCCTTTTAAGGGATACTCGGGGCTCACTGGAAGAATACAAGAAAAATATAGAATTTTTGCCCTCGGTAATTTTTCGAAGATTTTAACAGTTGAAAATCGAATTTCAACTTCGTTATTAACATTATATTAAAATTGTCCCAAGTTTAATTGGTAGCATATTGGAATACTTAACCTATTATCGCTTAACGTGATCACATGAACATTACACATTTACTACATTTTAGGCACCACTGGCAACATTGATCAAATTAGACGCTGCAAACATCACAAACCCTTCCAGAAGGGTTAGTGTATATGCTGCTATCGTGCCGACTCCATAGTGTTTCATTGAAGCAATATTTTACTGTTTTATATTTACGTGGCCTGTTGCAAACATGGCGCACTCACATGTTAAATATGTGTGAGTATGTTTTTATGTAATTCAATATTATTATTTATGGTTTGCACTAAAAATTCCACTTATGACCGTGGTTCTGGCACTAAAAAAAAGAGTAATGTAGTTATTCAGTGACCACGGTCTACAATTAAAACATTACTCTATTTTTATATTCTCGTGTCACAACCACGGACAAAGGATTAGTAATAATAAGTCACGCAGATCAGAAAGTGTCTCATTTTTATAGAACCTCCGTCTAATGTGTTTACAGACGAAAAATCAAGAAACAAAGATGGGGGCGCTCTCAGATAATTTATCAGGCCGACAGCTCCGTGCCGGTGCCGAAGTATTTGTAAGAAACGAAGATGAACCGCCTGAAGGAAAGAGGGAAGAAACTGAACAGCACGCCAGTAACACAAAAAAAAGCAAAAATAGAAAATCAAAGAAAGTTTCTATGCAGACAGAATGGATAGATGGAGATTTGATTCTTTCGCCAGGCCCTTTTCCTATATCCAGAGAGTGTAACGGATAAAAATGGGATTTAGCCAATGGTTCACCTGTCTGCTAACCCGTTGGTCAAATGTATGTAGTAATAAGTTATAGTTGTAATAAGCTATTTTGTCAATCGATTTTCACTTGTAACTTGGATTTAGTAAGCATGTTTGTCAGATTAGGTTAGTAATATTTTGGGGATTATTTGAATTTTGATATTTGGATATTCGTATCTCTCTCCCAAACATCAGCAGTCTTTATCATGGGTTTGTCTGGCAACGTGGTGGTTGCCCCACCTTCACGGACCACCGTTATTTATGGGAAGGGACGAGGAGTGGACCCAGCAGGGTCACCGAGCGAAGGGCAATCAAGTACCAGAATTTGCGGAGTCAAGTAGCAGAGATTGCCGAAAATAGTCCTCCGAATCCGCCAATTGATCTCCGAATCCGCCAATTGACCTCCGAATCCGCCATATTCTGCTGGGTGGTAGATCTGCCCGCTGCTAGAACATCCGTTTGGGGACATCGGCCGCCTCCTGGTTCCTGACTGGGGATATTAACCCACTGAAATTGTGGACTGGATAGCCAAGGACGGTCTGGATGAGATCTGGACCTAGCACGTAGGCATCGGCAGCACGTGGCGGCGACTTCATAGACTTGCTGGTGTTTGGGGCGAGTATTGCTATTGGTTGTATGGTATGTGGCTCACCATTTTCCTTTTTTTATATCATCATTCAAGTCAGTTTATGTACTATCACGGTAAAAGAATTGAGTAGATATTTCAGAGACTTGCTATGCAGAGATAGTAAGATTTTTCGGAGACTTTGGAGACTTGCTGGTGTTTGGGGCGAGTATAGCTATTGGTTGTCTATTATTAATTTGTAATTTCTAGAAATTTTTATTTAATTAAGTAGTTAACGTAGGTTACAGATCAAACGGTTAGCAGACGGTAGTTTGCGGTCGTCAAACCAGGTTTTCTTGTTCTTTATTAAGCTCACCATTTTCCTTTTTTTGTATCATCATTCAAGTCAGTTTATGTACTATCACGGTAAAAGAATTGAGTAGGAATTTTGGCAGCATTCCATCGCAGAGTGTTCTAGCTTTGCTGCGAAAGCTAGTGGCGCTCAAACGAATTCACCCTCCGGGCTTTGCACACGACCGCCCGACATACCCGCTCAAGGGAAACCTTTTTTTTCTCTCTCTCTCCCTCTCTATTAAATTGTTATTTAAATCGTTGCATTAATTAAATAGTTTTCATTAAAGGTTGATTTTTATTCTTTTGTTCTGTCCGAAATTTGTCGTGTTGCAAGAGATATAGTAAAATGATCCCATATTATATAATCTGTGAAATTTTTTATATCGACGTCTGTGAAGACACTGAAAAATAGGCTGCTTGGAAAAATCATCCAGAAGTAAAGGTTACTGAACAAGACCGAGAAGTATTGTTAGCTATTCTAATCTTATCTGGATATAACACGGTGCCATCCAAACGCAACTATTGGGATTCGCATGGAGATCTGCGCAACGAATTTATCTATGAGAAGAGACAGATTTCTCACTATTTCGAGACTTTTACATTTTGCGGTCAACTTTTTCCATCAGACAATGACAAAATATGGAGCCTAGGACCACTTATAATCATGTCACCAAATTGATTCTTAGAACTTTACAACCCAGAAGAGTACATCAGATTCGACAAGTCCATGATCGAGTACTTCGGGCGACACTTATTGGTCTATTCAATGAAGACACGAGCGGTGCTGATAGGTTGGACGAAAATATCTCATGCTACAGAGTTTCCTTTCGTCGCAAGAAATGGTTGTGGCTTTTAGATATCTCTGGTCATAACGCCCGGTTGCTACAAAAGAAAGCTGGAAAAGATATCCCGCAGCTCGATTGCCGAAGACCAATTGTTCAGGTCATTCTTACCACACATAAAAACGCTCCCCAGATTCCTGCCCGTCCACGAGCATTCAGGCCCAGTTGGGACAACAAACTACATACAGAAGTTAGGCTTGATGGTATTCGGCATTTTGTTAATCTTTGCAACAGGCCCATATAGTTGGGCAATAAATCATTACCTGTGATTTTGTCACAGTGATAAATAAATCGCAATCTGTGACGAACGTAAAAAAAACAGTGATTTAAAATGTGATGGTCCCAAACGTGATATTAAAGAACAACTTATATTTTTGCTATATATAACTGCTATTGCGAGTTGCGTCTTGTGACCATATGTTGCACATGTGGCCCGGCGAAAGAACGAACCCAAATAAAACTATTTTGTTTGCTAATGGAAGCTTGCATTCACGAGTTCCAATGAGTTTGGATTTTATTGATATTTTTAGAAACCTATTTCAATATGCACCATTTTTTCCTAGAATGTTTTTAGAACTTTTAGAGTACATGGGTTTAAAAAATCTGTAGCCAGTTGCTAGCTGCAGAGGCTGTTATTTAATTATGCAAGTGACTCACAGTTGCCCATCACTTTATGACGCTGCTATATCACGAAAACGGCAACCACAAGTGAAATCACATTCACAGGTTAAATTCACAGTTAAAACAAAATGACATTCACATTTTTTAAGGCAAAAGCGTGGCAACCAAGAGAAGAACGCTGATGTGCATGTTTGCTGATTTAGGACAGTGCTTGGTGCTTACGCATCTCAATCTGAAGTGTAATCCAAGGTTTCACGTTTGTTCTCTGAACCTAACAGTTTGCATCAGGCAGATAGAGAAGCTGTTACTATAAATAAGCAGAGAAACTTCAACTATAGATCGAAAATACTAACAAACACTGCTTTTCTCATCACACCCATTCTTAATAAACACAAAATCACTAAGTACAGACAATGATTTTGACTCAACACTGAGACAATGAATTAAAAATGGAGAGAAAGTAACTTTGTACCATTGTCTGTCACTTGCAATTACAATGGATGGTAACAAATAATGGACGCCGGTTGAAAAAATTGGACATTTAACTAACCCAAACTAACCAAAACAGCCTTTTACCACAGAGTACAGGAAGAAGAAATCAACTGTTATGAAAACGATAACATAAATCCCAATTCGCAGCATTAATAGTGTTCGCTAGAGAGCCTGTCTTCCGCTCCATTTTAAGAGTAAAGCCGAGCACGCAAAATAAAACCATCAGTTAATCATTCGGATAAAAACTGCAACAAATTTTACAATCGTATCTCTTCGCGTGGACCATTGGCTTTTTAGATTCCACTGACAACATATTATCAGCATTCCCCGGAACCGGAGCGCCATTCTTTTGCGGTAATGGTCTGGCCGCTTTTCTTGTTTCACAAATCAACTGGCAATGTTTAACGCTTGCTGGATTTTAATCGCTAATAATATCCCAACGAAATACTGATAAATTTTACACCTATTACATGGGTATGCGTTTAGGTTGTTATAGCCTAGGGCCTATTATTCATAAACAACTAAGGGTGGTACTTGTGCTCACATTTAGCATTGCAGTAGTCTCGAAATATGAGCTTTATTAGCTGAATGATTTGGACTAATTATCCTGTTCATGAGACAGAGGTATTTTTAGTACTTACCTACAACTTCTGCAAGTAACAGTCTCTAACAAATTAATTTTTAGTTAAGTTAATAAGAGTTAAACAGTATTAAGTCAATAACCTCCTGATTGTTTGCGCTGTCAACTTTCAGAAAAGACCACATCTCTTTAGGCGTTTGTAAGCTTATTATGAGAATGCTTCATACAGGTGCCGTTTTTTCAAAAAAAAAAACGAATGCTTTTAGGTTCTTCATTGAATGACTTTTAGAAGGTGAAAGATATGTCTTTATTTACAGAGTATAAAAATTTCCAGGAGCAAATACAAGGTGATTCAAAATTGGTGTGATTCCTCTGGGGGTGCCTTTGGAGTACAGAAAAAATTGTTAAAAAATTCAACGTTTTTAAAAACCCAGATATTTGAAAAACACTAGATCAGAAGAATGGCAACAACGTTTTTCAAGATACTCTGCATAATTAACTTTACGAAAATACCTGTTCCTGCGTAATTCTTAAAAACTCCGGTAACAATAGATAAACATGAAGCAAAGAAAATATAAGAGACACTAGCATGCGTTGAGGTTCGGATCTCAACGAAAACAACCCCCAGTGCTGTCATCTTTTTGGGGGAAATCCGTGATATACATAAATCAGTTACAATTGTCATCCAAAATCACCTGTTAAAGGTAATTGATCATATATTGATCATCATTGATATCAGATATAATTGATCAATATTGTTGATCATAAAATACAATTCTGTTGTTAAAACACAAGAATTATTCCCAAGAGCAAGAAGTCCTGCCCATTTCACTCCAAACATCTTTGTGTCCCAATCACGTTGAGTCTGGGCTCATATTTTGAGCAGCTTCTCGTGTTCGGGTAATTAACTGCTGCTCAATTTGAACCGCTGTTCGGAAGATCAGAGATTTAATGTGTTCTGGTGTTCTGTGCATATTACATACATGGTAGGAATGTAGGAAGTTATCGGGACAATTCATTATCCGGTGTTTCAGAAAGTGCAGTTGTTGTGCAGTGCTTCAAGTTCTCCTGGACGGCTCAGCTGCAATAATCTCCAATACCTGTCCCTCTAGGTCTGAAAACCGAGCACCTTTAATTTTGACCACTATCTGCGTCCATTTCTGGCCACTTGCCTAGTGTGTAGCGCTTTGCTGGTGTAAGTTCTTACAGCTTCTGCTATGTTATTGTGGCATTTTCCCATAACTAATCGCACATTCGCAAATTCGCTGTTGGTATACATTTTGTGAAAAGACCTTGCATTTAAGACACAGTTTGACAGATAAAGAAACAGATAAACCTGTAACTATCTGTTAATGGAAAAATCGTCATTGCTGCTTGCAGTTTTAATCAAAAAATTGTGGAAGAGTACGTTTTTAATATAAAAAATTTTCGTAATTTAACAAGAAGATCGTTATTTCAAATACAATCAAACGTGGGACCTTTTCAAAATAATGTATAATAATAACAAAGGTAAAATTTGATCTTCGACTGTTAACATATACTTGAAATTTTTGCAAAAAATGCAATATTTTTTTCGTACTCTCTAAGTTCGAATCACCCTGTATAAGCAGTACTTAATTGAGCATATTGAACTTGGTAAAATCCTTTGATTTTAAGCTAAGTCTTGAGTGTCTGAAACTTAAAACTGAAAAAAAATACTTATAATGGTCTTAAATTAAGCAAGTGTTTGACATCTAAATGAAAGCAAAGAAAAAAGTATTTCCATCAAATGAGAGATTAATCCCTAATGAGAGATACCCATATGGTCCTGTGTATTAATTGGGATATGAATAAAGTTTTCTGAGTTTATCTTGCTATTTATGCAATGCAATGCAATATAAAGAATAATAATAAGAATAATAGGAAATAATACGTATCAAGTAAAAACGCGTCATTAAGCTATGGCCCTGGAGGGCACCAGCAAGTCATGTTTAGCCCAGGCTTCAAGTGTGGGTTACAATCAGAAAATCTGCCGCAGTTTAGTGTTAAAATTCTACTATAGTTTGGCCCTTTCTCTGTATATAAACGGCAAATTTGACTTTTTATAGCTTACAGCTTCTGCGCGAATTTTTTCTGTTTACTAAAATGTTTACATCCCTAATCCACTAGATTATAATTTTCTAAATTGAGCTTTTGTTTTTCGGATTACCCTCCTTTTCCAGCTATTGTTGATAACATTGAAGTAGCACTCGATTTGGCGGCCAGCGCAAATATTGCCGCTATTAAAACCACAGAAAGAATAAGTTCGGAATTCTCAAAGCGCTTAAAATTTGTTGCTGGCACGGTTCGGAAAAGTAATGGTCCATAGAGAACAAATCCCGTAATGGTCCGTGTGTATTTTCTTTTATTGCAAAACAGACTTATGGTGTTTTGCTTTTTTGCTACTGGCTGGTAATAGAAAAACTTAGATTACATTTTGCCTTTTGCCAATGATTAACATTTTGCACTATATCATATAAATGCAGTTACAATTTTAACCCAAAACGTTATATGGCAACGATGAAAAGTTTAAAATAAATTCTTCAATTTAAATTATTTAAAGCTGAAACAAAGCCCTAAATTTTGAACTTCAAAAATTTCGATTAGTCACCAACCAATATCATATGTTATTTAAAACGACCCACATATTTGAAGAGAAAAATTTGGAATTTA